TAAATTAATTAGTAAATTGAAATAAAAGCAAGGCAATTCCTCTGTAATATAATAATTACAACTGTGTATAAGAGTATGAATTCATATAACTATCAAAACTAATCCAATTAAAGAAAGAATTGTAGCCCACCAGTGGCCAAGCGGTAAACACTGAACACTGGTAGTTCGGTCTGAGGCTCGATTCCCATGAACGGGCTGGCTGCATGGGCGTTTTCATGGTTTTCGCCATGTGTAACATGTCTATGAGCCAGTTTACCTTAGAAAATGTTCCACGAAGGCATCCCTCCCCTTAGGCAGATAGCCCTACTGTGCTTTACCATAATTAAATAAACCAAACCAAAGAAAGAATTCAAAGTAGAACAATCTTGAAAAATAAAAATGTGAAAGGGAAAATATACAAAATTATACAGATAAACAATAATCTCCTTTTATTGAAACTCAAATTCAGAACTCACCAGGGAAAAATGAATTAAAGCTCTAAATTTAATTCATTTCATAATTTAAATGAATTAAAGTCATATGCACACATACATAGCATGTAAACCATGGGGGAAAAAAGGGGAGGACAATTCTATATCTCCTATTCTGCTGGGCCGATTGACAAAATTCAAACTGTGTTTTTCACGTCTTGATAGTGCGACTTAGGATATTTATTAGATTTATGTATAGTATTGTTCTAACATAGGTATTTTGACACAAAATCAGACTTTTTCTGTAACATACCAGTTTTTTTTTCCATATTTCAATTCTATGACTCAAATTATGCCTAGATATTAAATTTTGTAAAATTTGGTGCAAAATTTATGGAGAAATTCAAAAATTTGTCTTGGTCCAATTTTTTAGTTTGCGCCAAGATTAATTCACTTGGGACTCTAATATGAGGGCACCAGTTTTCCTTCCCTTCCTTATGCTGAGGCAAAAAAGGCACATCGTTCTTACTTTTACATTGTAATGAGCGGAAAAATGTTAAATCATTTTGCTGGTTCCAAATTTTAGCGAAGTTGTAAACACATTTGATGTTTATAGCTTTAAAAAATATGCCGAATTTCAAAATGCCCAATATATAAATTCACTCTATCTTCGAAAATTTTGAGAGAAACTGTAACTTTTTGGGTATGCTCAAATATGTCTACTTAAGTTGATGGTAAACTTTTACAGATTATAATTCAAAAAAATTTGAGAAAAAGGTAAAAAAGTTATTTAAAATTACAAGTTTAAAACTCCCCACAATGTGATTTATTTGGAATGAACCTAATTTCAAATGTGAAAGGAAGAATCAAATAAGTTAATAAAAAACAGAGAGATTATAAAATATATACCAAACTCATTACATGTTATCTAAACCTTTGAGATCTATTTTTTAGACTACTCTTACATTTTTTGAAACTTCGAACTTTGGCATAATTTGAGTCATAGAATTGAAATATGGAAAAAAAAATTGATATGTTATTTCAGAAAAAGTCTGATTTTGTGTCATACCTATATTAGAACAATGCTATATATAAATCTAATATAATCTTATGTTATGCTTTCAAGACGTGAAAAGATGCAATTTGAATTTCATCAATTGGCCCAGAAGAACGGGAGATATAGAATTGTCCCCCTTTTTTTTTTGCTGGAGTGTTCTTATTTTCATACATGAACACATCCATCCATATATAAATGCATACATAGCATGTACACCACTTCTGTTATATGAATTGGATTTCTGTATCCAATTCATATGATAGAAGAGTACCAAAATTTGTATAATTATTTATTGTTTTTTAGACTTTTGAAATTTATAATGGTGAATTCTTCATTAATGTGTTACGCTTAATTTCAAACTGCAATCCTCTTCTTCTAAGTTTATATATCACATCTATGTAAACATACATATTTCTCATTATTAAACAAAGGACTTTCAAATTTTTTTTACAAACTTGGTTTGCCAGAGGTATAAATTGATGTCATTTTTCACATATTAAAGTGGCATTGAATAAAATAAAGACTCCTCTGATATATTATGCTTCATTATTTATGTGCAGTGTTTATAAGGTGAATGTGTGCCTTAAGAACTTTTAGTGGGAGATTAATCTCTATATCTCTAAATTTTTTCATGTATTACTATGTTTAATATATATAATAAGGTATCAAATTGGCTTTATTTATATAAGGAATACAACAAAAGCTTGACTATCCAGAAAGCATGGAACTGTCAGATATGGGAAAATTCCTGTAGTTGAGCATAAAAAGTATCACTGTGGGAAAGACAAATGAAAACTTCCACTGTAAAATTATAAAAACAGTCATCTAATTTGTTATCAATATGAATATCAAAAACCTACATTTAAAATTATGTAAGAACTGGGGGGGCTGGTATTTTGATATGTTTAACTATCTTAGGTTGTACTATTAAAAAATATATAAAAAAAAAAACTTGCCTGATTGTAAAAATGCATTGTAGGCATAGAAGGTGACATTTTTTTGTAGGCCGTAAACATGTGAAAGTAAAACATTTTACCTTATTGTGGAAATTTTTAAATAAAAAGTAAATTTAAGAAATCTACTCAAACTTGCATTTAATAGAACTCAAAAGTACTTTTATTTTATATTTTTTCCCGAGCAAATAGAAAGCTTATATCATCAATATATTAATACTGCTTTGATGCAGTTAACATTTGATTGGATAAATTGTGAATGTTTGCTGTATTGAAAATTTCATTTTTTTCATAAATTTCAGCCTGATGAGTCACAATTACAAAACTTCTTGGTCAATGTATAGAACATTTTTTGCAGAACACTGGGGGAGGGATTGGGCTTTTAATGTACATATAATGTTTGTCTATTAAAATTAATATAATGTTCATTGACTTTCTTATGGTTTTAAGCATTTTATTCTCTGTGGATATTTTTTAGGTCTCCTTTAAGTGGAAAGATGCATTTGACAAGGGGAGTTTTTTTCTGGGTTCTGCTAGCTTAGGTAAGTTCATTGTGACATATAATTTGTACCTTTACATATTTACTGTTGTATATAACCCCTGACTCATTACAAAATTTTGACAAAATTTATTCAAAAATCATCGATTTTTTAATTAATGTTTTTGTGCCTGAATCAAAATTTTTAGGTTGGTAAAGGGAAATTTAGATAAAAAAATCAATTATATGTGTTTTGAGGGAATTAGGATGCAAATGACAAAATTAATTCATGGCTGTACTTTGAGTACTTGAAGAATGCAGAGTCGGATGGGATTAGATTGGATTATTGAATAAAGACTATATCCTTGTCTGTATATGGAGAGGTATACATTTGTAGAGGATTATGTAAAGTTAACTTGACTATATGAGGAAAATTTTATCTTTGTAGCCAATTTAGCCATGAAAATAAACTCCAAGGGAAGGTACTAGTGTTTTGCACCTTTAACTATTCAGCCACTGGCTTATTATGTGCTCATTTCTTGTCAAATACTTCAAGTTTCAAAATCCATCATCTTGAGTTTTGCTTATTTTGCAGTTAATAAATGTCACATGTTCATAACTAAAGGTTAAAAAATGCACATAAGTATACAATAAATATATGCATGTTAATGAAAAATATAAAAAACAAATATGCAAAAATTTCTGAAATAAAATATGTACATTCACAATAATTTGTAGCAAAATTTTGTATACAGTACAAAGTCCGAAATCCGGACGTCTAGTATCCGGAATGAACTATAATCCGGACCTCAAAACCACCAAGAACGTTTTTCTCATAGGCTTTATGCATGCACATTTGATTTCCTCCTCCGCACATAATAATACATCAGGAGAGTCCCGATTCTTAATTTCACTTAAACACTAAATAAAATACCTTGTTATTGAAGAAACAATCATTTTAGCATAAATTTGTACGATCCGTAATTTGGCTTCGTTGATGCATATGATCTTGGCACACATTTCAAACTGAAACATTCCACATACATACATTGTTCATCTGATGCCAACCTGGCGAATCATTATTTATTATACTTTCCTTTCATTATTGCATGTTTATCAAAACATGACAACTTGAGTAATGACTCATGTAGCAATGCCTAAACAATTTTTTTATGTTAGTATTTGAATAATAAAGGAGTATGGACCCTTTTATGGTGACATTACACTGGCAATGATTACAGATTTAAGTTATGCGCTAAAAATGTTGACAAGGAAAAATTACAAAAATTTCTTTCCATATGCTAAAAATAGATTTTGTTGATGATACTCATAGACCCAAAGATTACATAGCCAACTCTGATAAGCCTTAAGCATCTGCAAGAAATAGTCATAATAAATAACTAAGCTAATACAGTTCAGGCTAAATTGTCTCAGTGTACGATATGAGCAAGATAAAATTTAATGGAACAACTTGTTGTTAGTCGCCAAGCTCATGATGCAAAGTCAAATATGTATGGTGAATGATAGCTAAATTTGATGAGGCCACAAATTACCAAGCATCAAGCAAATTGGTTACATATACAATTCCACAAATTTTAAAGGTTTTGGGGTATTGCAAAACAAAGGCGAAATTTTCCATTTAATGGATTTTGTAAAGAAATGTGGAGAAGTGGTAATAAATGAAGATGATACGAAAGAAGTTTTTTGTTATGATGACAGTCTCTTAATCATCAATCGATTAATGAATGGTAAAATCTGTCGTATGGTTCTAGATCCAGATATGATGACAGTCTCTTAATCATCAATCGATTGATGAATGGTAAAATCTGTCGTATGGTTTTAGATCCAGAGAATACCACTACTGATAGTGAAGAAAGTGACAGAGAAGTTACTGAAAACGAAAAACATTTCGATTGACAAGTTAGTCAGAATTCTTGACACAGCAGTTACAGGACTTCAACAATGTAACTGAACAAGAGATTATGTCTGTCTACAGAATTAAAGAAAAAGTATCAGCACAAAACAACGAAACAACTTACATTGAAAGAAATGTTTAATAAGGTAAACAAATAAATATTAAGCTTTTTTTTAAAAATTTGGATACCCTTTAGATCAGTGGTTCTCAACCTTTTGAGTAACGCGTACCATCTAAACAAAAATTGAAGAACTTTAGTATCACCACTACATTTTGCAATGATTATTTTTCAAATTCTCAATAGAAATATTTAAAAAAATATATATTTTGCCATTTTGCACAACTTATTGCCTATTTGTATTAAATATGCACACATAAAATATGTTAGATTAAAAACTGGTTACCATTTTAATTATTAAAATTTAAGTTATAATACTTAAATTAAAAAATTTAGTGTGAAACATGGGTCTGTTTAAGAACGATAATTTAAATTTCTTTTATGTCTTCTTTATGCTTTAACCATAAATTAGAATCCACTTTTAGTTTTGTTAGGTATTTATTTTTCAAATATAACATAGAAAATCCTTGCTGACGCCAATAAATTGTGCAAAAAGGCAAGAAAAATTGAATAACTTTATTTGAGCTTTATTATTTTTACCTTTGAATTCCTTTTTTTGGTTCAGCCAAAAGTTAATAAATGTGTTATTTTTGAAATCTTCAATTCAATCACAGGAAATATCTATCAACTATTATTTTTCTTCACAAGATTTTTGAGCTTAATAGTTAAAAGTACTTTGTTTCTTTGCGTACCACTGGTTGAGAAACCCTGCTTTAGATCATAAATACCTCATTATTTCATATTTTTTATTTTATAATTTCTACATGCCATCTTACTAGATTTAAACTGATGATCTAATATCCAGAAAAATCCCAAATTTGGAATCGCCGAAGTTCTGACAAGTCCGGATTTCGGACTTTGTACTGTATATTTATGGTATCATTTATTAAATATCTGATTTCTCTGGGTTTATTATGTGCATTTTCATGACATACAATGTTAAATTTATCAAGTTATAGGGCTGCATTCTTTAAATCCAAAAATATACTCATATACATATTCTTATAGTTTGCAAAGTTACTTAACTGCTGTCATTTTAATAATTATAAAATTAATTTAAAGTACTTTTGGATATTTATTGAAGGAAAAAAAAACAAAGATTGAAATTGAAATTTGTCAACTTTATGTATTTCTTTTAGTTTTTTTCTTTCTAATAGCTTTTAGAAAACAGGCGTAGCTTAAATGGAGATTAACTTTGCCATAGTATGATTATTTTTGTCAAACTATTTTTATGTCTCCTGTTAAGCAACCACTATAGCAATATTTTAAAGCTAGTTTATATTCAGGCATGTATAAAACATATGAAAATGTTAAACTTTGTAATTTTAATGTGAATACTATATTTCAGTTAATGTTTTGGCACTCATTTGTCTCGTACTTGCTGATGCCAAAATACAACCTATAGCTGTGATTCTTTCAAGTATTTGGCAACTCTAAGAACTGTTTTGGATTTTTCTATATAGATGATTTTTTTTTTTTTTTTTACTTTTCCTATTAATTGTTTTTTTTAAGAAATTAAATGGCGAGATGGTTTCTTTTCTTTCTTTCTTTCTTTTTTTTCTTTTTTTTTAACATCAAAAATTTTTTTTTCACTTCTGATCCAAACATTGGTATGCTTATGCAAACATTGAAACATATGTAAAGATTTAAAAAATGCAGGAAAAAACAGCCACATTGTATCAACTTATCATCATTTGTCTTCTTACATATTAGAGTTTTAATAATATCCATTCTGAGTAAATGTGTTAGTAATACTAATGTACTTGTTAATGCATAAATGATAGTAAATTTAATTGTATCTTTTGTCTACAGCATTGTCTTCACTTGCATTTGAGAAAACCTGTATTCTTTTTAATATTGGAGCAATGCAGAGTCAAATAGCATGCAGTTATATAAGTGACACAAAAAATGATGAAGGTCTCAAGTTAGCTGCAAAGTATTTTCAGGTATGATTATGAATTGAAATAATAAAAATATATTTGGTTTTAATCTAGTGTTTAATTATTTTTACTAATTTTAGTTGAGATTCCTGGAATTCATATTTCACTTTTATATTTTCAGATATGATTTTGAGTTAAAATTAAATCGAAAAAGAAGCTTTTCTGTTATTAAGACAGAATTAAGAAATGTATGTATGTGTCCATATATGCATGTATGTTTTTACATACATATACAGTGGTGGCCAAAATTGTGGACACTTTTAGAAATTTTTATGTTTTTGAACTTTGTATGCTTATAGAAAATGTTACGTTTCGCAAAATGTAAACTTGTATATATCATTTTTAAGAGAATTTATTACTGAATTCAATACAAAACACAAAGTTCAATTATTTGCAATACAAAAAAGTTATATGTCCTTTAATATAAATAAAAGATACAGTTATGAAGTGGTTTGTAATGTCTAGCTTTCCTGGCAGATCACTGTTCTTGTTCTGAGAACCAATCAAATGTTAGTAACTGCCAGTAGAAGCTGACATCATGTTTATACTTGAAACAATTCATTATTTTGCTTTGTTCTGTAGAAGGAGACCTCTCCTTCTGCAGTTACATTGTTCTGTTTCTTATAGTTCTCCACTGCAATTACAAGTAGGAATTTTTGTAAAAATTTTAATATCTAGTCAAGAAGCAATGACATCAAATAAAAGAGTAGATTGGACACCCAGAAAGAGATGTAATATTATTGTGTTACGAGAAAGTGGTCTTTCCTATGCTGAAATTGCAAGACAGGTGGGTGTTCAGTGACTACATCTGGAGTCCGAAAGTTTTGTTTACGATATCAGGAGACAAATTCAATAAAAAACAAAGAAGGAAAAGGCCGAAAAAGGTGCACCACATCTATTGATGACAGAAGAATAAAAAGACTATGTCTCCAAGATAGAAAAATGTCATCAGCGGCCATCAGAAGTGATCTGAATGATGCTGGTGTTTCTGTCAGTTCAAGAACAATCAGGAGAAGATTAACAGATGTTTGACTGAAAGGTAGAATTCCACGAAAAAAGCCTTATCTTAATTTTCAGCAACGAAAAAAAGACTACAGTGGGCAAAAGAACACATTAACTGGACAGATGATCAGTGGTCACAAGTTATATGGAGTGATGAAACTAAGATATCGTTATTCGGTAGTGATGGGCGAAAATATGTAAGACGTAGAATAGGAGAAGAGCTACATCCTGACTGCATTCAAACAACTGTGAGGAACCCAGTTAGTGTTATGATTTGGTCATGCATGTCAGCAGATGGTATTGGTCGCCTTCATGCCATCGATGGGACACTGAATGCCAGAAAATACATTGACACTATTCTAGAACCAAGACTTCTTTCATCAGAGATCTCTTTCCCAACAATGCTTCGTTTATTTTTCAGCAGGATTCTATTCCTTGCCACACGGCCAAAATATCGAAAGAGTGGTTTCGTACAAAGAGCATTAAATTGTTGTCATGGCGAGGAAACAGTCCTGACCTCAATCCTATTGAAAATTTGTGGCATCGTTTGAAACCTCTTGTCCGAATGAGGTGTCCATCAAATAAAAGGGAACTAATTGAGGCTATAATTGTTTCCTGGTATCATATAATAATGAAAGAAAAGCTTAAAACTCTTGTCAGCTCAATGAAACGTTGATGCGAAGCTGTAATCAAAAATAAAGGGTACCCTACTAAGTACTGATAACTCACTGCAATCATCACTATCTAATGTATATCGATAACTATTATCGTTTAACTTTTTTTGTATTGCAAATAATTGAATTTTGTGTTTTGTATTGAATTCAGTAATAAATTCTTTTTAAAATGATATATACAAGTTTGCATTTTGTGAAACGTAACGTTTTCTATAAGCATACAAAGTTCAAAAACATAAAAATTTCCAAAAGTGTCCACAATTTTGGCCACCACAGTTATATGTATACTTGTGTTGTATGTATGTATGTATTTATGTGCATTTCGCAAAACAAAAATAAAAAAGGGGGGACAGTTCATTGGGCTTCCTGTTCTTCTGGGCCGATTGATGAAATTCAAATTGCATCTTTTCATGTCTTGAAAGTATGACATAGGATTATATTAGATTTATATATAGCATTGTTCTAATATAGGTATTTTGACACAAAATCGGACTTTTTGACATGCCAATTGTTTTCCATATTTCGATTCTATGACTTAAATTATGCCTAACTGTTAAATTTTGTAAAATTTGGTGCAAAATTTATGGAGAAATTCAAAAATTTATTTTGCTACTCTTTTTTTCAGTTTGCGCCAAGAATAACTCACTTGACAAACTTCTTAATTTATAACCATCTATTTTCCTTTCCTTTCCCTTTTTTTTTACTGTGAATGGCGAAAAAAGTCATCTTTCATTATTTCAAATAATTTTAACAAAGTGTGTAAACCACATTTGGCGTTATTATCATTTATAACAAATATACCAAATTAAAAAATGCACCAATATGTAAATTCACATATATCCTAGGAAATTTTGAAAAAAAAAAAAAAACTAATTTTTTGCAGGTATGCTTAGAAATGCATCTATTTTAAGATGATGGTAAAACTTTTATAGATTATAATTCAATATTATTTTCAAAAAATTTATAAAAATTATTTAAAAATAAACCTAAAACAATGGGCAAATGTTATTTGTAATGAACCTAAATTTTGAATTTAGGAAGAAGGAAGGAAGGAAGTTTAATAAAAAAAAGAGATATTAATAAATATATATCAAATTCAGTGAACATTGAGGAGCTAAAATTCTGAGAGCTGATTTTTTTTAAAAACTACTTTTATAAAAAATATTTTATAAAACTTGGCAGTTTGACATAATTTGAGTCGAGGAATCGAAATATGGGAAAAAAAAAAAAAAAAAAATGCCATGCCATTTCAGAAAAAGTCCGATTTTGTGTCAAAATACATATATTAGAACAATACTAGATATCAATCTAAAACATATCCTAAGTTGCACTTTCGAGACCTGAAAAACGCAAGTTGAATTTCGTCAATCAGCCCAGTAGAATGGGAGATAATAGAACTGGCCCCCTTTTTTTTTTCAGTCTACATACGTATGAGTGTGTATACACGCATACAGTAGCCTACAAAATTGATCGGACACTTTGAATTTTTGTTTACTTTATTGAACAAAAAAACTAAAATAAATTAAACAAAAAGAAAGGCATTTATTTCAGTTATATTATATGTAAATTCAACATCCTTATAATAATAGATAAATTTTCAAAAAGAGGAAAATTAAATTAAAAAATCAGTATCATTTGTTTAATAAGGAAAAATATTCTCACGAAAATAATCAGACACTTTTGGTAACAATCCAAAATGACAAAACTTAATATTTGTTTTCCTGAATAATATCTGTGGGATTACATTTACACTTGGTCACTTCATTTAATCTTTTGGGCATTGACTCCACACGTTTTTTTTTGTTATTTCTGGACTTATGACATTTCTAGAATTACTGCTTTCAACTGTTGCTGCAAAGATATGCTCTGTTTTTACAATTTTCATTCTAGTGCTTGCCAAATGTTCAATAAGATTAAGACCTGACATTTGGGGTGATGCCTGAATTACTTCTAGACACTTGCATAACAGCCTGTCATTATATGCATTATGCTTTGGATAATTGTCCTACTATAATTTAAAACTATTTTGTGTATTAAGTTTTTGTAATGACAATACAAATTTTGCTTCATGATCTCAAAGTACTTATACTGATCCATCATTTATAAACTTTATATTACCATCACTCGAATGTGCCATCAGATCCCCAAACCATAACTCCTCCTCCACCATGTTTAACTCTTGGTACTAAGTTTTGCTTCTGAAATTCTTTGGGTTTTCTCCACACCAGCTTTCGTGCATTTGAGCCAAAAATATTAAATTTGCTTTCATCAGCAAACAACACTGTTTTCCAGTAAGTTGGGTGTTTTGTTTTATCCATTTTGCAGAAGCAAGTTGAAGTTTTCTTTTTTTCTTTTTTTTTTTTTTTAACTGACATAAAATTTTCTTTTTACTACTCACCCATGATATCTTGCAGATCACATTACTCTTCTTACAGTTTCTGGATTTACACATATTCCGTATAATTTACATAGTTCCACAACAAGTTTTGGCATTCAGTCTTGTATTCTTTTTAATATTCCTTAGAATAAAGTGTTTCATTCCATCAGATAACTTGCATGGTCTTCCAGTTCTTCTTTTGTTTTGAATATGATTCTGTTTCTTATAATACTTAATAATGTCAAAAACTGTACAATTACTTGCATTTTTTTAATAGATTTCCCTTTCATTCGATGCAAATCAATAATGAATCTGCTGGCTTCTAATGATGTTTCCTTTCATTACCGAATCATTGGAAGAAAACATTAAAATAACATACACTTTCTAAAAAGAAAATTTGAATTTATAAAAGCAAACAATTTTTAGATTGTTGCCCAGCTCCTTTATACAGAGTAAATCCATAAAAGTTAATTTTTGACTTTATTGTACGAAGTAAAGGAAGTACTGCAATTGTGACAAAATTCAGGTATCCTATTTCAACGAAAATACCTATTTTGACTGCTCTCAAATCTGTTTGAATGATGCTATTGTGTGACATCTGCATGTATGGACTGAGTAAAGGACTCTTTTTCCTTAAACAGATTGTAAAATGGGTTCAGAAGAGACTTTTTCGTGATATCTGTACATATGTATTTATGTATGTATCTCGCATAACCCCAAAACGAGTAGTTTCAGAATGTTGAAATTTTCTGTATGGGACTGCTATAACGTGTAGTTGTGCACCTCTCTTTTTGGTTGTAATCAGCCATACAAAAGTAAAGAGTCAAAAGTCGTTAATCCAGACTCGTAGGGACTTCAGCGATTCCGGATTATCGATTTTTCCGGATTATAGATCATCAGTTTAAATCTGGTAAGATGGCATGCAGAAATTATAAAATTAAAAATATGAAACA